ATACTATTATACAGTCAGAAAGTGCAATAACTAGGCACAAAACTGACAGAGTACTGAAACATTCGACGTCCTGACACCTAGCTTCAACACATCTCCGTAGCGCTAACCGACAGCCTTCCAACTTGGAAGGTTCAAGGTTATGGAAAAGACCAAAGAGGGGAAGGCAAGCGCAACGAAAACGAGCAAAAGCTACAGTCCCAACGGAACAAAGAATGTCGATTGTTACTGGACGATGACGAGACCAGTACGATATTTGACAAAGCGGTCTAACTACAATTCGAAGCAGCAAAGCAGCACACCACCCAACTTGGGTGGGTCATAAATATCAAAGATAAGTAAAGAAAGGGAAGCTTTGCGAAAACGAATTGTACAAGCCGAAAGCCAAACTCCTACAGTACTCCTCATGCATGACATTGTGATGGACTAGTTGACTACAAAACAAGTTGTTTCACACTTTGTCAAATATCGTACTGGTCTCGTCATCGTCCAGTAACAATCGACATTCTTTGTTCCGTTGGGACTGTAGCTTTTGCTCATTTTCGTTGCGCTTGCCTTCCCCTCTTTGGTCTTTCCATAACCTTGAACCTCCCAAGTTGGAAGGCTGTCGGTTAGCGCTACGGAGATGTACATTTATTTATGGCTCAACATCCGAGTTTCAAATTGCACACCTGATGAGCCGTCACGAACCATACGGCGAAACGTACGTCGCGTGAAACAACTTGTTTTGTAGACAAGACTAACACAGAAACACAGACTAACACAGAAACAGTATGTGAGGGTGGGTGGGTGAGTGTGTGTGGGTGTATGGGACGGGGGGGGGGGGAGATGTAGAACCGAGCAATAGAAGGAGATCAAATCTTACATGTGTGACTGGTATATTGAAGGATATAAACTCTAATGGCTAATGCCAATGTAAATAAATCTTTGCCACCGAAATATGTAGTTCAGAACCATTTAATATAAGGGTCTTTGCCTGCACGCGTACGTATACAGTTTTCTGAATTGCAGCTCCAAGATGCGTAGACAGGTTGAGGATATACTTCAGGTGAATGATCAAACCGTGGAAAGGATGTTCGTTCGTGTCTACCTTGCCTACCCACTGAGCCGCATTACATCCCTCACTTTCGGCGACTAGTCTCTGTTTAAACTCTGCGATAGTGGCGATTGGCGTATTCGGTTGGCCATTTACCTTTGTGTAAAGCTCAAATCCATGAACAAAATTAGGAACTCCCCAAAACACGTCTGGACCATTGCCCATATTGGCAGCCGGACCAATTGGCGAGTTTCCTTCGAGATCTTGTAACGTACCGTACCGAAGCTTGCGCCAGAGGAGGCTAAAAAACCTACATGATTCTTCCGTGGTTGGCACAATCTGGTCGAATCCATCCATTGTCCGGCGTTTCCAATATGTATGAAGTACATGTACTACCAAAACGGTCAACTAAAATCACAGCTTGTGAAGCGACTGAACAGATGGAAGAATTTCTATCCGTACCTTGCTTGTTATACGTGCGTTTCCCTGGGTCACCCGGTAATCTTGTGTGTGTGTGTGTTCTTTGCGCTGAAAACACTTCTCTTGTGTAAACAAACACGAAAAGAACTGTTATTATCACTTACACTACATACCTCAGTGAGATTCTTTTGAATACGCAAAACGGGTTATACATGTTTTTGCTGCTGATGGGGTTATCAGCACTTTTGCGAGTGCATGCCAGACTTATCCCCTAATCCCCATAGACAGGCGCTACATCTGCCCCTGAAATGACAGGGTGTTAGCAGCCGCCGCGAGCTCCCTTGTGAACGGACACGATAACTTACTTACCACAGAGTCTGTTTTGCCCATAAAGAGGGTTTTTACAATTGGAGTGAAAGAAACTATCAAACCTGGCCATACAGGGAATTTCCCTTTTCCACTGCTAATCGTGAGTGGGCGTGTGTTCCTGCGCTGAGAGCATTTATCTGGTTTTGAAATATAATATATTATGGTCGAGCTGCACCACTTACAGGACAGGGTCATGCGCCTGGAAATGGCATCCCTTGGTCCTGGTTTCAGTGGTCTTCTAGGATAGGTGGTCGCCTTGTCCGAGTGGTCGCCTTGACAGGTTTTACTGTATATATAACAGGTGCTTATGGCCGTATAAGCCGGGGTTCAAACCATGCGTTTATTCAAGCTATGCTTCTATTCAAAACAGTCTTCTACGTCAGCATCATCAGTCTGCAGTCTGTGCAGTGCACACTGCCATGCATGTACGTGTAGATCTACATGATTGTACTTTCAGGTTTTTACAGTGCCGTTTCCATGGTTGTAGCCAATGAGCGACGTTCCCGCGGTGGCCTTGATGAGCCGATAAAGGCCCGCACGCTGTCAGCCTAGCTCTACAGTGCAGGGGTCTGCGTCAGTTTTCCGTTGCCATAGTAAGCCATAGTAAGCAATCCAGTATTCTACAAGCTAATGAGTAATGGCGATGTTGACAACAGGTTTGTACGCGTGTCAGTAAAGGAGTGACAAAACTAAACAGCTACAACCTGAAAACAATTCAAAACATTCTTCTTCTTCAAGGCCAAGGGAAAAATGGCAAGAGTTCTGTCCACCACGTCCCCGACCTCCACCCCTAGGTGGTATCGCGCTTATATACAGTCTACGAGTACGAGCATCAAAGGACGACTTAGCCTGAGGAGTAAATAATTGGAAAAAATGGCAAGAGTTCTGTCCACCACGTCCCCGACCTCCACCCCTAGGTGGTGTCGTGCTTAGATACAGTTCGCAAGTGAAACCTGACCATGAATCAAGGCCAAGGGCGCAGGCCAAGGCGCGTAGCGCCTTGGCCTGCGCCCGCGGCCGTACGCATGAGCTTTGGCAATTCTGCAACTACTTCTTCTAAAAAAAATGGCAAGAGATCCGTCCACCACGTCCCCGACCTCCACCGCTAGGTGGTATCGCGCTTATATACAGTTTCAAAGAATGCCAGTGAAAACATGACCATGACTCCGATGAGCGTACGGCCAGGCAGGCCCAAGGCCCGGGCGCTGGCCAAGGCGCGTAGCACAGTAGTCAGTACTAGATCTACGCACGAAGCCTTCATGTACTGATGTAAGCGAAAATTGATAAGATCATCGCGTGTCACCAAAGGAGTGATACTGATAGTGTAGCCACCACGTCCCCGACCAACCTACTTGTTCTTGAGCATTGAGCAAAGAAAAAAGGAAACAGGTCTAGCCACCACGTCCCCAACCTCCACCCGGCTATGTGGTATCGCGCTTATAGTTATACCGTCTACGCGGCTCAAAGGATGTAAGTGGAAACCTGAAACACGATCATAGAGTTCTGGCAGGACTTTCCGCCTTCATCAAGGCCTCGTGCGCACGGCCGCGGGCGCAGGCCTCGGCGCTACGCGCCTTGGCCTGCGCCCTTGGCCGTATGCACTCGGCCTTGATTCAGCCATAAAGTCCTGCCAGAACTCTATGATTGTCTACGTACTGTCTTTGCATGGAGCGGCTTCTATTCAAACCATGTGTCTGTGTCACGACGCGCTTCAAAAAATCAGCTTCTCAGTTCTATTCGAGTCATGCTACAGGTATTGCTTTTAGATGCGACACTACAATCATGATTGTAGACGCACCGGCTTAGATCTCCCCCCACTCCTGTTTGGTGGCACACTGGTGCCCGAGACAACCACCATCACCCTCCTTGGTGTGAAGGTGGACGCCAAGTTGACCTTCAGCGATCACCTACGCTCCGTAGCCACCCGTGCACGCCAACGGCTTGGGGTCCTAAACAGAGCCGCCCACATACTCACCCCCGCCGGCCGGACGACCGTATACAAGGCGTTCGTACGACCAGTCATGGAGTATGCGCCTCTTGTATGGATGGGAGCTGCGCAGAGCCACCTCCAGCGTCTGAACAATGTTCAGCGCCGCGCGCTTCATGCTATCGGCCCTGGGGCACACCTACCCAGCCTGGCCATCCGCCGCACTGTTGCCTCGCTTGCCTGCCTGTACAAGCTGCACTACTTGCCTGGTCCTCCGCAGCTGCTCTCTGTGTTGCCACCGCGCCACATCATCTCTACCAACCCCAGAACTCGCAGCGAGCACGGTGCTGTCAGTGGCCATGACCACCAGCTCCAACACCAGCTGCCTGCATCTGCCCCGCTGGCACTGAAGCGCTCGTTCCCACACTGCAGCATCAGCGATTGGAACTCCCTCCCTGCCGCTCTCCTATCCCAGCCTCCCCACAGCAAGAGAATGCAATCATTCAAAACGAATGTTTACCGCCATCTTCGCAGCACAAACTGGCTCTGGGCAGTCGATTCCCTATGAATAGTATGACGCTAAGACAGTTTCTCCCCCACAATCGCTCGTGTTAAGCCTTGGGTTTTTGCATCTTTCTTACCTGTACAGCTCTATCTTCTTCTTTTTTCATTGTTTTTGGTGCGTGTTTTTGGCCGTGACGCCGAGACCTCAGGTCGGCAGAGTCATCAATGCCCCACCATCACTGCTGCGTCTCGGTGCAGCGCCTGCTCATTAGTTGTCACGTTTGTCCTAGTCTCCGTACCATTGTCTTTCCTTATTCTTTTCGAGCTGGTTATGTGAATATAGTTAAAAAAAAAAAAAAAAAAAAAAAAAAAATACAGTATGAGATTTTTTTAAACTATTATTCATAAACCCAACTCGTAAAATAAATAATTATGTGGACAAAACAAACAGGTACTGAGTAGGGGCTGCACGGGGCATGGGCAGCAGTGATGGTGAGGTACCAGGGGCTCCACGGACCAAAGATCTCGGTTTCAATGCCAGGAGCACGCACCAGGAGAAAGGAAACAGAAATGTAAAGCGAAGCTAGATCTAGTTATGGGGAAGTAGAATGGACACAATGGAGGTAAAAGCGCCGGTATGTGCTTAGAACATTATTATTGTATTAAATTGAAACAAGAAAAACGGTGGTGCACAAGTTATGCCTTGTTTCAATTAATATTAAATTAATTTTTCCTTGGCTCTCCATCTGAGTACTTAAAATTATTGTTATTATTCACACTTATCCGCCGGATGAGTACACGTGGCCCGTGCACCATGGGGAGTCGGACCCATGAATACCAACCAGCATAAGTAAGTTCCGTCAGCTATACAAGCAAAAAAAAAAAATCACGGTTCGCGTGAGACTCGGCCAAAGGCCCAGTTTTCCGCATCCGCAGGAACGCCACCACCCTCTTGGATCAAGGCGCAGATGCAGCTCCTAAGCAAGCAAGCAAAGATAAATGAGAGCCTTGGCAGAGAAAACAAAGCGAGGAGAGATGACGACATAGCATAGGCAACGAAAGCACTTCCTAAGCGTAGCCGGGGATTGTATGTGTGCATATATGGGTACGACAGTTATTACGGCTAGTGCAGCCGAGAACAGCACAGCAGCACAGAAAATGCAAAAGTGCCACAGCAGCAGCCAAGCGTGTACAAACACTAAAACAATCAGATCCATTAACTTGTTCCATTATTGATAATAAAAACAAGATAAGGACGAGGCTGTGAATTATCAGTGTTCGGATTGATGTACCATGCATGCAAAACACAGCTGAGCACTCTGAGCAAGGCCACGTACGCGGGTCAGCGGGTCTGGCAAGCAATGAGCTCAAAAATTACAGGCAAATCTCTTGCCCAGTATGTACCAGTTGATGTCTCTCAGGTGTCGATAGACCTTTGTTTTGAATGACTGAAAACGTCTTGTTGCTGGGCGCTGCGACAGCAGCCTGTCAGGAAGGGAGTTCCATGCGCCAATATAGCAGTACGGGAACAGCCGCTTCAGTGCGGATGAAGCGGACACAGGGAGCGATGGTCTAGAGATGAACAGTTCTAAAAAGATAACTTCTAAGACAACACTGGATTAGTATGGAGTACGAGCAACCCACGCTGAGCCAAGTTGAGACCCATGGCATGCGAGTACTTGATCTATTTTCGCTGGCCAGCTCATTGTTGGTTAGCGAGCGGCAGCCGATATTCCTGCATGTATTCCAAGACCTGCGTAGGCACTTCAGCCAGCACCTCCTTTGCTAACCTCTCTGGTGGTTCCTAAAAGATATGACAGAACACACCAATACAGACAGTTGACATTAAGCAGCAAAACCCGTGGCCCAAGCGTACTGACTGGAAATTACATACCGAAATTTACTGACGGGAAACTACATTGAAATAGGAATAGGATACACTTTTAAAATTCAAGGTCCTGATATATTTTCTACCCTTCCTCTCTCCGTATTTCTGTCCCCCCCCCCCCCCCTCTCTCTCTCTCTCTTTCAAACCGCCTGTTTGTGGTGCGGCGTTCAATAAACTTCTACAACAACAACAACAACAACAACACTTATTGGCGATGGTGCCATCGTGAGAATAAAGAATTCAAACAAACAAACACGGTGAACAGCCAGTGAAAGTGAACTGGCTGAAAAGAGAAAAAAATGCCAGACCCACCAGGACTCGAACGCGGGACCTTGCTTGTCATCAGCAAATCTCTAATCACTCAGATATGCAGTGCTGCTAGATACTTTTCGCCCAAAAATCTGACACCATGTACCACACATTTTAAGAGAATCCAAAATATCGCCAAAATACGGAAAAATCGCTTCGTTGCCATGGTGACCAACATGGCGCCCAGAAGTTGCCATGAACTAGCACTTTGGAATGCATGAATGCAAGAGTACATGAAAACCAGAGTGTGCAGCTTGGGGCCTTTTCTGCTATGGGTGTTTGTCACGGCGAAATTCCGTGATAACATCATATTTGGCGCAGATCAGAGGCGGGAAATGGCGTAGTGCGTACAACTGAGCTTCAGCTGTGCAGAAAGAGACCTGCTTGAATCCTGCTTGTACGCACCACATCACTAAAATGATGTAATCACGGAATTCCGCCGTGACAGCAACCCATCCGAGCTGCACACTCTGGTTTTCATGTACTCTTGATGAATGTACTGTCTGTATTCGCCTTTATAGAAGCACATTGTACATGACATGTACAATGTGTACAGGGATTTGTGTGTTCAGTTGCGGTCAAAGGTGAAAATACAGGATTTCTGCATAGGAATGCACTGACCCCTGACATCTTTGGCTGCTTTTCGCACATATCCTTTTTTCGGACCGGTTCTCGGAAGAGCCTTCAAAAATCGGACACTGTCCGAAAAATCGGACGGTTTGGCAGCACTGGCTATGGGACCAGGCCGAACCTGGAAGGCGCTGACAAGTTCTTCACCCCAAAGGCAACGCGTGCCACACGTACTGATGGCCCATGTTGTGAGCTGCCTTTGCACCAACTGAGAGGGTAGTGGTTAGAGCTTTGCTCATGACAAGCAAGGTCCCGGGTTCGAGTCCTGGTGGGTCTGGCGTTTTTTTTTCTCTTTTCAGGCAGTTCACTTCCCCTGATCGTTTATCTGGAAATTACATACCAGCGCTTAACCGATATATATTTAGAAACGTAATCTAGTCATTTATCTTCAACCCCCTCACCCTTACTTGACAAACAAACACATACACTTGGTATATATTATCGGTATTTGCGGTCGTTTTTTCTGCATGTGTTCACACATGCACACATCCATGTTTTAGAGAAAGAAAAGGCACTACCCCCCCCCCCCCCCCCCAGACTAGTGTTAATCCTAAATTATTAATATAAATCTGTATTCACGGACGGCTCCTAAGCCGTCCTTTACTTATGACAGCTGCATGCCAGCTTGCGCATAGAAGGCACTATAGAACTGGCCAGGCCATGCCACTGACGATAGTCTGGCCAACATAAAAAGAAATAATGTCCCACCCAACTGAAGATAGTCTGGCAAACAAAAAAAATAAAAATTAAAAGTATTGTTCCGTCCAACTGAAGACAGTCGTGCAAAACTGAAGAAGGTACAGCTAACAACAGCCTGGCGGACTTGCGATGGTCAGTTCGACAGAAGACGGTCAGAAACACTTTTTAAGTTGTCCTGAAAAATGGCAAACCTTTCTACAATGTTCGAACACCCAGTTGACCTGAAAAGACGGCACAAATGTGCCGCACTGGTTGAGCACCCAGCCTAACCTGCCAGTCAAATAATCTTGGCCATACGAGTGTGAAGTGAAGACATGTCTACGTCCCTTCGAGGTACTAAGTAAAAGGTGGCTTGTCAACTGACCACCTCCCATTTTGTTGCAACACATTCATATTCTCAGTCAAAGTGCTGAGTATCTACAAAAAGAAGAAGATAAGCGAGACCAAAATAAAACCGAGATTCCAGGGCAGAAACTTTGTGAAATTGGTGCGGGCGGGCGAATTTTTTATTTTTTATTTTCCTGTGTACATGTACTCAATCTGCGGACAGAACTGTTTTGTCCTTTGTGGACTCATCAGCACTGCACAGAGGAAATGAGACCGAAAGTACATGTATGTATTCATGGCATGCTGAACATTTTTTACAGTATTTTCTGGTAGTTTTTATTCATTTTCTTACAGACAACAGGTACGCGGTTTAGCAATTCAATTTTTTCTGTATTTCGGCCAACGATGGCCCTTATCTGTACATCAGGGAATCGTACAAGCCCGGGTTTGTGTGACTCCATGTCGCAGATCTACTCACACGATCAGTACTGTACATGTATATACTAACTGTCAAAAAAATTGGCTTTGGCTCGATTTTGGTTCGGAAGGGCCCGATAATCTCTATTTTTGGGCTTGCCACATGAATAGTTTGCTGGGGCAAGTAAAGTTCTATTTCTAGCCAGTCACCTTTCGTCAGAACCTAAGGTAGTGGATGTAGTTCAATTCTAACGTCAACATCCGTACGGGCTTCAGCCCAAGAGCACCAAACTGCGTACATTGGCCCGTGCACGGAAAGTCACTGGCCCTGCATGAGAGCAGACCTTTAGCAGCTCAGATATTCTGTCACTTTTTTTTGTTGGAAACTTACACTTGCAAACTTCGAGAAGGGAACAAACTGCACAATGTCGCGCATAGCTTTGTTACCGCCTGCTTCCAATCTGCAACAGCCACAGAAACAAACCGAATGAAACACACACGATCATATACAAAGCACACAATGAAAGCAAGCACAGTCAATCTCGTGAACAACGACTTTCAGCATGACAGAAATTTGCGGATACTGACACAATCTCCAGACGTCGTGACCGTTATACTGCAGACTTTCAACCTCACGAATCACAACAAATCGCGAATAACACATTTCAAAAATGCACAACCGAGGGCCGTTATTCGCAAGACTGACTTGTAAATCATTGGAGATGTGCACAAGATTGACTTGCACATCATTGGAGACGTGCAAAAAGAAGATACAACTCAGGAAAAGATACAATTCTCTGTTAGCACTACAGAGTAGTTCAACATCTCTTCCCAACGAATTCTTCAAAAGTATATTTCTCCTGGTTATTTAACCCTCCCCCAGACCTTCCCATCCAACGGGCAAGATTAATACTTCAACAACTCGCAAACATGTCGTAAAAGCCTCGCAAACATGTCGCAAATTCCTCGCAAACACAAAATTCAGACGGCATCTCACTCGTGTCTGGAAATACATGGACACCGGGATACTTACAGCGCATCATCGGCATCTAGAGCCTCCATGTCGCTGAAGTCGGCACTGCCCACGCCGACGATGATGATGCTCATGGGTAGGCGTGACGCACGGATCACTGCCAGTACCGTCTGGTCCATGTCCGTCAGAATGCCGTCCGTCAGCAGCAGCAGAATTTGATAGGTCCCGCACGGCAAACGCTGCATGTGAAAAGGTGGGATGAGTTCACGCACGTGACAATAAATACAGGTAAGAGAACAAGTACAATCATGCACAGTTTATATGGCTAACCGTTCATATGGCTAACTGTTCAGTGCTTATAGAGGTTATGCAATGACATCATCAGCTGAGATGCCTTTGCAATGACATCATCAGCTGAGATGCCTTTGAAATGACATCATCAGCTGAGATGCCTTTGAAATGATATCATCAGCTGAGATGCCTTTGCAATGACATAATCAGCAG